TTTTTTAACTTCAAAGCTTGCTTGCTAGCTGCAAATACTACAGTCAAGCACTTCTCTCCCAACTCCAGCAAAGCGGTCAAATCTCAAGACCTGGGCTGAATATAAACACTTACTCGTAGGCTTACAACTCAATCCACATGCCTATCACTATCTCATTGTTTTCTGGTACACTAAAACTATTTCTTAACAGTTCCGCATACATTGTAAGTACTTCAGTTGCTCATAACTTTTACAAGCGGTTCTGGTTTTCTAGAACAGACAAATCTTTTAGACCTTTTAGTCGCCTAGTTTTGGAAATGGAAACCAAAACTAAGTTTTTGGATGGGACTCTACATCAATATGAGAGAATGTTTGGTTTCCTGTACTCTTGTTTTTCTGCAGAGAAAGTTTTCAAACTAAAAGCTTGACTTTCTCCAGCCTATCTTTCAAGACTTCCATTATGGTTTCTTTATCCCCCATGATTTGCCCCATGAATCTCATACCAAAAGTTCCTGGGCTTGAGACAGATTGTGCACATAGGCACTTGTAGACATTATTTTAGTTCACAGTCTCACGGAAGTCAGCAATAGAAAAGCAGATCAGAAAAATACGCTAGACTTGAAGTGTCTTTATTTATTCAACTATAAAGCTCTTTCCCAAGCCAAATGCCTCTACGATTCGGTGGCTTCACTCGCCTACAAACGTCCCAGAAAAAAAAACCTAAATCCAAAAAGCCCACAGCCAGGAGCAGTACAGAGGTCAGATAATACCATACTGAAATCTGAATGTAGTCAACACATTCTTTCTAAATTTATAAATCTGCTGTTACCTGTTCTGTTGAATGCCTTATCCTCTCTGTATACTCCCGTAACAGTTCCACATGCTGTACCTACAGAGCAACTCAGATCTGTTCAGGCAGTGCTGCAAATCAACAATCTTGTAAGCGCAAAAAGCCAGAGAGCTTGGGAGACACAAGCTACAGAGCCTCTTCCCTCTCCTTCCCACTCAACTACAGAGGGAAGTTAGGATGAGAAGAGGCAAGCTGATGCTGGATGGGTGTTCATACAGGCTAGACCTCTGCGCTGCTATACGCCGTGTGAAGACAGTTTGCACATGCATCCCTGCCTCCTGTGGGCTACGCAGCTTCAAAACTGAACGCCCCTGATTGTTAAATGCCGAAGAGACCTGCACCTCATGATGATGGTGACTGAGCCAGGGAGTTATAGTTTCTGGGCAAATTAAGGCCCAAAGCGAAGCTTTTGTATCAGAAGAATGACAGTGCATCCACTGGGGAGCATGTGAATACGGGTGGGCATTAGAAGGAGAATAAGAAGAACTGGCTGTGTAGACTAGGCACCTGACAATCCCAGGACAGATTTGTAGGTCTAGTTTTTCTTCTTCTGTAGGGCTTGTATTTTCATCTGAACATATGGCATGAGCTCATACTTCTTTGCCCTTTTAGTGCTCCCTACCCCAGCAAATCATACTTTTATATCCCAGCTACACTTTAATTACCTATGGTTGCCATTCACATTTAATCTATACCTCTGATTTCCTGCAGGTCCCCTTCAAAAGCACTGTATTTGGTGTACTTGTCTGCTCAAGATGAGAGTCATTAACACTCCATCTTCCGTGGCCTGATCATTGACAGACAAACCAAAGTATGTAGAAACACCAATTCTCCTACTCCCAGCCGTGACAGAATTTACTATTTAAAAAACTACTGTAGATCTGAACTTGCTTTTCAACAAAGCAAAGTGTTGGGACAACTGCCTAACAATAGCTTTAGAGGTATCTTCAGAAACATCCACACAAAGTTCAACCCAGACTACGGCTAGGAGCAAATGCCCAGGAGCGCCTTCCTGGCAGTGACAGAAAAGGCACATTCAAGCTGCTGACACAGTGAGGGGAAAGGTAACTGCTAGGAAGAGAAACGTATCCAGAGTTTCTTTGACAACAGAAACAAATGGTTTTCCTCGTCCTACTTTGCACTGGACTAAATGTCCATTTGCTTTGACTTCCCAGAAGTTTACAAGGGTCAGTCACACTGAAGGACGACGTGTAGTCCTCTTGCTGCCCTCCTCTGTTTGCCCATTTGATTTCTTCAGCTTTTGTCCTTTTTTGCCTAGCTCCTTCTTTCATTTATCTCTTCAGTACCTCAATAATCTAAAAGCAGCTGTTGCAATGCCAGCCTAGGGACCCACTCTCATTGCGGCTATGCCTTCCACAGCAGAGTTGTTCTGGTCGCAGCTAAAGCTAGGGAAGAGGGGGAGGTTCAGCGAACAAACCCACGTACCACCAAAAGCTACTGCAGAGCAAAGGGGAGAGAATGAGAATGGTAATATAATTCTGCCCTCTCAGATAGGACCAGAAAAGCATCCTGTTTTCTACTCCATTGTACTGAAAGCCGAAGGAACTGCAACTAGAGGAGAAAAAATTCTGAACCTTAGAGAGAAATGCAAGCAAGAACACAGGACTTCAATCACAGCAGCACACAATTATCAAGTGGTTGAACAGGCATTTGGTCCTATGCTTAACTATAGTCCCAACCGACAACTGTCACATTAAAAAACACAAATATACTTTATACTATATATATAGTAAGGTGCTGCAGGCTCCCTTTTTTCTTGTTAGCTAAAACGCCACTGAAGATTTGCTGAGAGCCAGGCGGCAGGAATAACAGAAACAGAACAAAGATAGTTTTTACAAATGTTGAGTTTGGATAAGAGCGTCTTATGGCTGGAAAAGCAGTACAGTGAAAATTCTTGAGACTCATGTTCCTGTCAAACAGTAACATGTCTGTAAGCTTCATCCAGCAGAAAATACAGAATCAACAGAATCAGTCGCAGTGAAGCTGTGTGGACGCTGTGCGTTCTCTCTATTGCCTGATAAAGAAGAGTTAATTAAGTAACTCAGCACATCAAGCATTTGCTGAAGTGACCTGTACTGAACCTAACCTGAAGAAATTTGCCATCTACCTCCACAGAAAGAAATGCAAAGTCATGAACCCCACCCCTCTCCTCTCCCACCCCAGCCTAATTTTGTGCAGTCAGGTAACTACTATCAGTAATGAGCAACGCCCTCCAAACTGTAAAGCAAGAAGAGTGCTTGGTATATGAGCTCCCTTTTTTTCCTGCCCTCCCCTCATGGAAATAAGCTTCCCTGACAAGCATAAGCTGAAGCAAAGTTTAATCAAACAAAGAGTCTGTGTGCATCAACAGAATAACAGTGACATTTGCTGTCAATCAGGGCTGTGGAAAGGTCAATGAAGCAAGTCACATAAATATCCGGCAAGTCAGCCATTTTGTCTGACAAACGGTCTCAGCTTGTCAGCAAAGCCTGAATACTCCTTGCACTCAACAGTTATACCAGCTAGGTGGGAAAAGAAAATAGATTTTCCTTCCATCTCCCCTGGGAAGAGTGGTACTTTCTTTGGGCTGGAGCTGGCAGACAGTGCTTCTTCAGTCATCTTTTTTTTTCCCCTGAGCTCCTACAGTGGGTTTAGCTTTCTGGCCTTCCTCTATTTCCCCCCCTGGTGCAGACTAGCTGGGATGCCTGGCTGCTTCACAGCACTATATTTATATCACCCTTTATTTATTTAGAGGAACAACGCCCTGTTTTGCAGGAGAACATCAGGCAGTAGAGATTTTCATATCCGAGTGCCGCTGAGCCATTTATCTACTCTGTTATTTTACCTGCAGCTTTACTCTAATATATCTCCACACCTGCTCCAGCACTAGAAGATATGTAGATGCAGCCACATAGCAATGCCCAAATTAATCGGTCCCACAGTGACCCATGGCTTTTTAGCTCAGCACAGCTCCACACCGATACAGTGTCACAGTCTCTAGGGCCCCAAACCCACCTTGCAATACTTCTCCAGATGCACCCACATGTTCAAATTTCAAATGGGATAGCAGCACCAATTCATTCATTTCTACTACCCTCTTACGAGTTTGATAATTAGGATCAAGCAGATACTAAAAGGGGAGTGTTAAGGAGATTACAGAGGATTTAAAAAATCTGTAATTAGCCAGCTAATCCTCATCTCCTCCCTTTACAGAGGAAGGAGTGAGAGAGACAGAGTCAGCAGAGCAGCTTAACTTTGGTTCTTTAAGTCGCTGTTTGGAGGAGCACCTCTGCCACACCACCAAGTACGGGCCAAAGGGGGAATCCATGCAGACCTCAGGTCCCAAGCCGGATGGTAGCAGCATACACAAAACGTTGTTACAAAAGCAACCCTACCACCTCTGCTAGCTTTAAACCTACCCTTTTCTAAGTAGGTCCTTGGTGCCCAAGGAGGGTCCTCTTCAGCGTAGGGATCGCTGTACTCCACTACAGCCGCTTCCTCCTCCTCATAGTCCTCCGGAGGTGGGGGTGGTGGTGGGGATTCATCAAACACTGGCTCATCCACAGGCGGCGGTGGGGGAGGAGCATCTGAAACTGAAAAGGAGGAGCAACATAACCATGAAAACATCTCTAGCTCCACCGCAGCAGGTCGAAGTAGTACTCCCAATCCCAGCTAGCAGCATGGGGACCAACGGCTAGAACTTGTGGAAATACACTCAAGACAACAAAATGCAGAGAAGGAAGGATCAGGTTCTTCCAATAAAATTCCACCGCGCCCCCCACCCCCAACAATTTCACACAAACTTGCAGAGGCAGTAAAGAAGGCAGAATTCTGGCTATATACAGGCAAATCTTTCGTCCACTCAGAACAAAAGCCACATCCAGTAATAAATCATAGCACAAGGAAGCAGAAAACTTACTGTTTTCTTGAACTCTGGCCACAAATCCCATTAATGGTAACTGTGGAGTTACCTGTAGGATGGAGGGGGGAGGAGGAGCAAGGGATGCTGCCACAGAAATTAAAAAGAAAGAAGCATTCAGTTAGAAACACAACAAAGCAGCAAACAGGAGAGTAGACATCATCACCACTCAGACAATGTAGCAGTCTGCCAAGAAGCTGAGATAAAAGGGATGATATCCACAGGAAAATAGCTCAGGTGCTCTAAGCATATTCCTAATCCTCACGTCAAGATTTCTCTCTTTTTAAAATTGCCAACCCAACTCTTTTTCCTAAACTCAAGAACCCACGCTGAAGTGCTTGTCTCATCTAACTATGAGACTCCCTTAAGTTGAATTTTATTACTGCAGCAATACAGGATCTTACAAACAGACCAAACAAATATATCAAGAGGATTAATCCCCCCATAATCCCCCACCTTTTAGATCAATAAAACATTTCTGGAGGTAAGAGAGAACACATCTTTTCTGCAACAGCATCCACGAATCCTTAATACTAAAAATAGAATAGAACTAGTTTTCTCCAAAACACAAGCCAAAACTCAAATGAGTCAGTTGTTTCAGCCGAAATAGAGAAAGAGGCCTTTGAGAAACTGAGCGTACACGGACAACGAGAGCGCTTCCGACCAGGGACCTCGTCCGTAGAACGAAACACACCGTGCTGCTGCTGCCAAACAGCAGAGCCTATTCGAGATGTGCTGGCTGCGCTGGCTGCTTTCCTTTCCACCTGACTCACAGACCACGACCTTGAGGTCTAAACAGCTGTTTTACTGGCACCAGCAGAGGCTGTCTTTGTACAACACATGTGAATTCACATTTAAAGAATATAACACGATCCAGTTTAAAAATGTTGTAACACTAAACTCTGGTCTGAGCCAGGAATGAAGGTTTTACTGTGTAAGGTGTCATTATCATTTTGCAAGGGTAATGCAGTACAATTGTTTTTTTGAAGCAAGTTACACGATTATTTTTCAGAAAACACACCTCAGGAAAAGCACAATTAAATAAATTTCTCATGAATAGTGGCATGCAAAACATTTAATCCGGTCCAAAAAAAAACGGGGGAAAAAACCCTACACTTCCAGTACCAGTATATTTGTTTAGCTTGCAGAACAGAACTAATCAAATTTCAGCTAATTCCAGAGTTGGTAAGAGAACTGCCACGTATGATGTAGTATTTTTCAGAATTAATTTACATCACCATAAAAAGTGAAGAGAACTCCAAGGCATTTAAAATTCATGTCTCAAAATTTCCACTCATTTATCTCTGTAACTGTTTTCAGCACCTCTTTGAATTTCTTCTGCCGCTCTCTTTCACACTCCTAACGCTACCATGCGCCCCAAACAAAAAAAAAGCATAATGGAACCACCATCCTTTTTGTTGCAAATACCGACCTGCAACTCCATACAAAGCAAGCTCCATTATCTTACCATTTAACTGACATTTCTTGAGAGAAATTGAAATGCTTTTCTAATTACAGCTTCTTTGAATTGAATGAAGTGACTCCAGAGAGTATTTGTTCCCTCAAGAGTAACCACAGCAGTCGGGAAAAGGGTTAGTGTCGGATTTTTCAAAGCAGGAAAAAGGAATTTGAATTTCAAGCCCTACAGAAATGCAGTAATATTCAGGAATTCAGCATTCCTGGGCAACTATGAAATCTCAGCCGTTTTAATTATATAAGCTAGAAGAAAAAGCTCCATTTCAAACTGTTTTCTCTATTTAAAAATCACATGAATTCCTAAGATTTGTACCTATCGTATGAGACTAGCTTTAGTTTCCTAGGTCTCTTCATCGTGCTTTGTTCACATGCTATATGTAACTCGTTGAAGGAGGTAACTAGGTTTTCCAGGCAGAAAAAATAAATCATTCTAGGCAAGCATTCTAGGCAACTATGGAAAATCCTTTTGTTTAGCTTGGGTTGCATAGTTTAATCAAAATGGTGATGCTAACACTAGCTGACAGCACTCCTTGTTTTATCTCATCCATTTGTTGAGTTCTGTGCTTTGGTCTATATGCAGTGCAGGGCTAACAAATTATTTGCCTCTCTATGATACTTAATGATTCATTCCAAGCTAATTTTGGCCTTTAGGAGCTGATACAAAAATATGTTATTAATAACGACTGCGTTTATAAAATGTATCAGAAGAACTCTGCTGTAGTCCTGCTGTCTCAAAAACGTGAGAAAAACATCTGTTAAAGCCCTCCTACCCAGCTTCCTTCCACATACACCAGTGGTGGATTAAAAGTTTACCTACGCGATTGCTTTAAATTAATTCAGGAACGCACAAGAGCACCTTACGCTGGCTCGCTGTGGCCTGGTAAGAACCCAGCTGCATACAGCGCGTGTAGTGCAGACCACCGTCCCAATGCTCACCACATTTCTCTCTCAGTTTTTTAGCCTGTACTTGAGCTCCATGCTGCTGGCACCTACATTGCTACTGGTTTCTAAGGTAGCTAAAGTTACCCTGTTTGTTAGGTGACACGGCTGGCAACGCTGGCTTTGGAACAGACATATGCTACGATCAGTTAGAATCTGCACTTCTTAATATTTTCTTTTCAATTGTTAAAGAAGTCTCAACATGAAGTAGAGAAATTGCATTGCCTTAGAAGTGTTATTCAAAAGAACAGAGTAAGAGAGCTGTCTTTCATTGTCCTATAAACTCCATAAACCAGAATGACCATCCCAACATACTAAAGAAAAACACAAGTGGAAAAACACTATTGCTTTATTGCCAAACAACCTGCAAAGAGGAAGCAGAACAAACTACAAGCACATCTGCAAGTCCCAGGTTTGTGTTTTCTCCCTCCCTTCAGGAATGCTAAGAAGCAACCGTGGCCCCCGCCTTGCCACTGCTCCATCCTGCCCCTTACAGACTCAACAGACCCTCCGTTCAGAGAGTCTTCAACAACCGTGCATGCCTGTGCATCCTCTTCCTCCAAAGTGCAGGCCAAAAACTCTGTTTTAGTCAAACTACAAAGCTAATAAGTTCTGTATTCTGCTAAGTACATCAACCTTAACAAGAAAATCTCTTACTACAGCTGCTTATTTATGTTGCATCAAGCATGGCACTATCGTTGAAGTATTTTCTTTGTAATTTACAGTTCAAGTGACTAATCACTGTAATCATTACTTTCTTTCTGGGTACACAGACTGAATTGTGGTTACATAACTTATTCAGAGCCTGTTTGGCATGTTCCATGATTACATTTTGACAATGCAGCTGTAACTTCCAGAGAGTTACCCCTTTCCTAAAGCAGAAATGCACAGCAGATGTCAAAAATTCTGGATATACTGAAAATCCTCTTTACCGCAAAGGTAATCCTGAAGGGTTCCCTTTACAGCTATTTCCCTTTCCTTCTTGTTCACCCCCTCTAACCTTCACTATGCACATAACGTGCTTAACAAATACTGTGCATTTCAGGCAACTAGGCTGCAGTTTAGTCATACATCTTCCTCCTTTCCCATGCCCTCAGCAGGACCATCCATTTCCTACTTAAGTTAAGCACACACATCTCTGCAGGCTAGTTCATGAGTAGTAATACTTGAACCTACTCGCTTAAAAGCAGGTGGCAGCATCTGACCTGACTCCAAAGTTCAGTGCACAATTTAAAAATAGCACAATAGCACTGCAGCGCTTGCAAGTCAACATTCAGTCTTGCTTGCAAATAGGGTATTTTTTAACGAGGAACCTTTACTATGCCCTTTGCATCTTTCTGCATCTTTGTCAAAAGATAAAGTCTCCCCTGCTCTGGTACAGATACATCTCACCTCTCACCAGAAGCACAGGGAAAAGGACTCCTTGGATGAACAGCTGCTGCATTTTTCCCAGACATACATGACACACCACTCCTGACAGGGCATCCATTAAAATAACATCATATATGAAACTTAACAGATGACACAGCTCCCCTGCATCCCATACTACCTAACACCACTGATGTCTCTCAGATATCCAATGACTTGCCCTTATAAAACAAGGGCACCTTCTTGGACTGTCATTTATCAGAAGGAAAAAGCATACAAACGCACAGACAGATTAACGAAGAATAGTGTTCTAGTACAAAATCATATACTCATCCCACACCAAGACAGATGTATGGGGCACGGTGTAGTAAAGGACTGAAGTTTGACTAATGGGGATTGCACAAACCCGTGACATCAAGAGTCATTTATCTGGCAACAAAGCATACGTTGTTCTAGGCTGCTTGCCACAGTGGAAGCTGAATGCTCTATGCTTGGACCACAGCTTCAGCGTGGCCATCAGGAACATACTGCAACTTACCTGACACGAACTGTAACATCTAGCTGTGGAGACAGAACAGAAGATTTCAGAGCTCTGAAGCCCAGTCAATTCACCACTGTGCCGAATTCAACACAGCAGAACAACTTTCTTACCTGGGTTCTGGTTATAAAAAGGCCCTCCGTTCATCTGGTTCTGAAGGCTCGTCTGTGATGTGATTGAAGGAGGACGCCGATATGGCAAAGAACCCCCTATTGTCGGGGGCGTGTGTCGAGATGCAGGCCTGTTCATGCTGTAGAACTGAACTGGGTGACCTAGGTTAGAAAGAGATGCATTAGCAAAGAATGAAGCCTGGCTTTTTTATATCTGCATTCAAGAGCCAAAGGCTTTGAAAGATTTTTGTTGTTGTTGTTTTTTTAAGATAGTCTGCATCCTAGGGAGCACTCAGCCAGTTCAGCTGCCAGACTGGCAGAACAACGAATATCTCAATAGCAACACAAAAAATAACCCCCCTAACTGCCTATGCTCCGTATTCCTAACAAAAGTCAGTAAGAAAACGCAAAGGCATCTAAGCGACAAAGTTTCAAAATGAGAGAAAATAATTTCTAGTTAATTCATTTTCTATAAGGCATTATAAAAACTTTTCGCAAATTTAGTCATCTCATTTACAAACCTGCAAAAAATGAAACACTTCACAGTCCAGCAATTAAACAACTAAAGCACGCACAAACTAACTGTATGTCATCTCTAACACTCAAAGATGTTACCGTCTACAACAGAATAACACAGCATTACTAACTATCTCAGTGCTGTTCAAGAAAGATGCAGAGGATCATCTGGGAGAAGAGAATGTTAGAAACTGCCTGAAGGATAGAACAAATGACACCATGCCCCGAGATCCTCTTCCTGGGAGCTATCAATTGAAACAACTCCTTAAAAAGCTTGCTCTCCATTCTAATCAACTTGTATATCAAAATAATTGATTCTGATTCTAACTAAGCAATACATGTTTTTCGTAAGGCGCATTAACAAAAACATAGCAATTAACTTTGCATCTCACTCATCAGAACCCAACATTGAGCATGAAAAAAGACATGAAGCTATCAACTGTGCTCACATAAGGTTCTGCAGCTCATATATTGCACCTAGCAGTATTCAATAAACTGGATTTCATACATCAGTATGGATTATTCCCCTCCCTAACGATTCTGCCTCCACTATATGGACTACAGGGCAATTTCAGAGTTTGCAAAAAATGAGGGGGGAAGGGGTGGTTATTATGGTCGAGGAGGAACGCATACAGGGAAGTAAACAGGGAAACATAACACACAAATGAGTTATTTTTGAAATATCTGTATTGTTCTCTTCTCATACGCTGTGGCAGAAGGTTCTCACTATGTTTTGACTGCTTTGCAAAACTACATACTAGGTCGGTAAAGAAAATGCAGGTAGCTTGCTGTGTTACTTGCTTCTAAAAGCAAATGCATGAACTAGATATTCACATTCCTCCTGCTTTGTACAGGTATAGAAGTTTCAAATGATGCAACTTCTACAGAGGAGAAATTAAAACAGCTACTAAACAATCCACCTTTTTTACATTTTTCCTCCTGAGCCTTTCCAGTTAACTTAAGTGCTGCAGAAATTGGTGGTAATTGGAGAGAAGGGAAGAGAGAAGGGAAAACGATAAAGAGATCCATAAGGATCAAAAACTGCAACTCCATAAAAGGCAAATGAATTAGTCTCTTCACGTATTTTATTTCAGAGAAGCCATGCAAGCACTTCACTAATAAAATGAGGAAATAAAAGATCCTAAAAGTAGCAAATAACTTCAAACTTCTCTTACTAAAAGGTAAATATGAATTTATAGCCATTAAAATATTTATTCTGCTTGATTTTGTTTTGTCAAAAATGCAGAAGCAATACCGCTCAAGAACCAGGATACTCATAGTGCATCAAAAAATGAAAACTGTTTGAGGTCCCATCTGACACACCTTATCTTCTAAACACAAAAGAAGTTTAGATATCAGGATGACTTCCTGGAACCAAAATTCATCACCGTTCAGAAGCTTCTAGCCATAGTCATAGATTCCAGTACCAGCATATGCGTCAGTGCACCTTAAAATAAATACTACTTCAAGAATGTTTCTGGCACCTGATGAAATTCTTAGTATGAGAGGCCAACATTATTAAACACAAACCAATTCACAATCCTGGAATGAGATGCCACTATCAACAAAAGGAAAGAATCGTGTATCTATACATGAATTGGACTATCTAAAGAAGATCTTTACAATGCAACGAATCATCTAATCAAAAGCTAATACGGAACTGTGTTACTCTTAGTAAGTACCAATGCTGCAACATCAGCAAATGAGGAAATGAAAAACACAGGGTGATTTCATAAGCATTGCTAAAGCAAGTTGTAATGTACACTATAAATACCACCTATTAAACAAAATAGTTTAGTACTACTCTGCCTAATAAATACTTGCATTTCCTTGACACTGAACATTAAAAAAACTGCCCTTTTTAACAGTTTGTTGAAAGGCGGCTTATCACTCCAAAGCATCAAAGAGATAAGTTATATTACACTTTGCTAGAGGCCCCCTTTTAAATTCCACTACTGGAGGAGAATAATGAGACCCAGAACCACCACCGCCTTTTTCCCCTAAATGTCCCCCAAAATTTTCTGTGCGATACTCTCAGTATCCAAACTGCAACAGATAAAATGATTGTTGTTTATGAAACCAGCGTACCTTGAATTGTTTGCTATAACCAATAGCTTATAACTGGATATTAACAGATATTTTCTAGCTATACTTAAAGAGATCCCTGCTTCTGAAGGAACTCTGAAAAGCCTTGGACTGTGAGCACTCTCAGTTCATCTGCCCACGACCTGGAGCAGACACTCACCTGTAGAGGGTGTGGAAGAAACAGCAGGGGGAGTTGGAGAGGTGAAGCCATCAGCAAGGGGCTGGGCTCCAGCAGCAGCAGCAGCAGCAGCAGCATCTGGAGCAGCAGAGGAAGGGGCAGGAGCAGGAGGGGCAGGGGCAGGAGCAGAGGTAGCAGGAAGGGGAGAGGTGCCAGCGGAGCCAGCAGGGGCTAAGTGAAGAGAGGAGGAAGAGGAGGAGTTAATAAGGAGATCATGTTAGCAAGGATCAGAGAGAGCCTTTGACTATTCAAGTGTTAGCTACTTATTAGACGCATAGTATTTCAGAATATGGAAGGAGAGGAGAGAAAAATGAAGCTATTAAAGAAAGGCTCGTTCCTACGTAGAGAGTAAATGAGGGTCAAGCAAATCTGCTGCTTATTTCCAGGTCTGAAGGCAATAACTCAGAGCTTTTCACTGAAAGCCATTACTTCTGAGATGTCTTTACTCCTCGTTACTCATGCTCTGATACATAGCACGCAAACCTTTAGCTTTTGTACGGAATTAGAAAGCATACAGAAGAGGAAAGCCAAAAATTTCCAGTGCCAGTTCTCTGTTCAGAAGCGTCATGTATTTCAGATCACAGTGCCTGCCAATTACACCCTTTTCTTCACTGAAAGGGCTGACTGCCTGAGCAAAGGAAAAAAAGAGTACTAATATCACTTCCCGTCTGAGGTGGTTACGTTTGAACAAATGCCTTTTCATAATATTCAACTAGGCTTGCATTAACGTACTAAAGATTTACTCTGTGCCTGCTTCTCTTTTAGCCTAATTGTCTAAAAGCAAGCCTTTAGATATCTGCATAGACAGCCAATGAAAGACCATCCACTTTGCTAAAAGAAGCTTTTTAAAAGCTAAAAGAAGCAGCGAGAGAAGCTTTCCCCCGACACCGAAACAGGTACTGTGTCTTACTTAGACACAGGTAGGCAACCAGACAAAAAATTCTGATAAATCAATTAACATATATTAGAAATACTAGAGCACACCAGACACTCTCACGAAAGATACCACTTTATTCAAACTCATACTATCAATAGCAAGTAAATTTCAAGGCTTGCACGCTTCTGGAAAACGAACTTTGAGACTGCTCTTGGAGTACTGACCACTGTGTTTAGGAGACTGGCAAACAACAGAAGTTAATGCTTAGGCAGACAGAGGAACAGCAAGTTTCCATTTACCTGGATAGACACTGGGAGGAGATGGTGTGGGAACAGCAATAGGAACACCCACGCTTCCACTTCCACTGTTCTCTCGACTGCTGCTCCGACTACTTGGGTGGCTTCCTCCACTGCTCCCACTGCTGCTAAAGAAATCAAAACAACCCACGAGATGAATATGCTGCTCTGCAAGCAAAAGACAAGTTCCCAACACAGAACCTCACTAATTCATAGCAGTAACAGGGAACAACTGAAAAGAAAGAGGGATGATACAAACCAAAAGCTTGGTTTTTTCCCCCAAAACTCCTCTTCATTTGGGTTATAGCACAACAGATTTTTCACTTAGTCCTACTGAACTTGCCAATTATGAAACATTTCAGGCACCTGCTTCCAAAGCACATCATTCCAATATTGTCAAATCCACGCTGAGCAAATACAGACCTTTTTTCTGTAACTTATAAAACGTACAGACTGTTTAGTCTGTACATTCATATGCTTTCACGTAAGACACTGGACTCTGGAAATAGTAAAACAGGAAAGTGAAAATCAGTTTTTCTTTTAAGTCCATTTATTTAGCCAGTCTCAAGTATTTATGATGTTCAAAAAATAAAGATTTCGAGGGAAGTTTCAGATGTGACAGCAGGAAACTCCTCTCACTACTCTGGAGAAAAGGCTAGCTAGCCTTTTGAGATACTTCTGTGATACAGCTTAGCTCTATTTTGTATTTGAAGTTATTAGTAACGTCAAAATGCAATGTTATTTTCAAATGACCCAATCTAAAAGACATTAAAGACTTTTTAAGCAAAACTGTGATCTACAAGCACACCATGCAGTCATTCAGCAACCATAATTCAAGTTGTATACAAAGTATTTTCCCAATTTTGTAAACATTTTGTAGAATAATATCATAATCTACCTACTTGAAAGACTTCACAAGTTTAATAACGTGTTAACTGCTGTAACTAAGTGATAGTACTAAAATAACGGTGATCGTGGGATTAAGTGAACAATGTTAACATCATGACCCGCTATTCTGGTTTTATTAGAATGCATTCTCATCATGCCAAATGGCATCCCCAGGCCCTATCACGAATTAGCAAGTCTCTCTGTAGAAGTTCAGATGGACTTTATATAATCACAGCACTTTGAGTCCCTCCAGTCATATGATACTAACCACACTTTATGCAGGACTGCACTGAATACCTGTATGTGCGATTCCTCTGATTCACAGATGCTGTTCTAACAGGGCTCTGTTGTGAGGGAGCCATATTGCGTGTTGGGCTAGGCACGTAGTCATTTGGTACCACTGGAGGACGCACTGGCTCCAAAGTGCGATAGGGAGAGTGACGCCTACGCAGGGAAGAGTGTATTTCAGAAGCAAATTCAGACAACATTCATGCAACCAAAGATTTCTCATTCTTTAAAAGTTAGCTACCTACTAAGCAGTATTAGGAACTGAAAAAATGTTTTTCTATAAAGTTTACAATCTCTCTTTCAGAAGAGGTCAAAAAAATTAAAGATGATGTTCTTCACATACTTCAGTCTCCACCTGCTTTACCCGCTCAGAAACTTTGTGCTGCACAACCCATTCATCCAAAGATTTAGCTGGAGTAAAACATATCATTCTATCTTCACTACATCAGAACAGCACATAGGAATGCACATACATAATCGCATATTAACAAACAGCATTCCTCCCATTTACAACATACTTCCTAAGGATTTTATCATCCAGAAGTTGGGTCAAAGTAAGTTTATAGGCTTCATGGGAAAGTACTTTTATCACACTCAGTAAAAATAATTAATCAACAGTACCACATACCAAATCAGGTATTAACTTTTGCAGTTGTTTAGCACCAGCTGTCAAAGTTACACAGTTAATGACCCTATACTCTAAATGTGTCGTTGTAAGTGTCCTGCAATGATTTAAAAAAAAAAAAAAAGTTCCTGTCAGGAACAGCTGATGATGCTCACTATCTTCTGTCTATTTTATTTAAGACACGATCAGTGTAAAGGATGCTGATGTAATGTCTCTTGGCCTTTAGATCAGACTACTTGTGAATAGTTAAAAAAACAAAACAAAACCAAACACACAAAGAAAGAATCTTTCCTCTCTCCCTTCCCAAAGCCCCTTTACATGTTCAGTAACTCAACTTACCCAATAGTTCCTTTTCCTGACATTGGTGGACTTGGTGGCTTCTGGGTGGGTGGTGTCGTACGAGGCAGCCCACCCATCTTCATATTCTGTGTGCTGACCTGTACGAAAGAACAGGGAGAAAAATGGCCTTCACTAAGCTCAGCTTCTGGGGGTAGAGACACCAACGTTCCTTTAGCCATTAACTCTAAGTAAGGGAAGATTTAAACAAAAAAAATTGAGAGGCCATGCATACCATATGCAATTTCCACTCTGCTAGAGGTCAAGAGTTGGGCTCAAAGGACTCTTTATTATATAGGGTTTTCAAAAATTTTTAGAGAGAGAGAGAGAGAAAGAGAGAGAGAGAGACAGAGAGAGAGAGAGAGAGAGAGAATTTGCCTTTAGGCTATCACACAGTCATTAGATGACTGAAAATACAGATACTCAAGTAAACCTCCCATTTCACAAGGCAGTCACCTTTTAAGATAAAGATTCTGGTTGCACTACTGAATGCTAAAATTGTAAAACTGCTTTTGAGTACTCTTTAAAAAGAGCAGAGTTCATCTAATAGGCTACAATTTACTGTAATCAATATAAATAAGGAGAAGCAAATATAGCCTCCAGGTATGATCCATTAATGCTTTAATGTTTTCACAGTACTGTATCAAGACTATTTAACATACGGGCTATTTTTTAGTTTATATATATATTTTATATATACATAAATATGGAGAGAAAGCAATATAGAGAAAAACATACTGGTGTAATTTCTTTCTACACCAAATTTGTAGCAATTTAATCTCTAAGAACTTTCAAAAGTAAATGGATGGTGAGAAAAATTATGAACAGTGATGTGATATGATTGTCCTCCGCCTCCCCCTTTTTTAGGTTACAATACTAATGAAATAATTTTTATATAAGAGAATTGACCATAATTTCTAAATAAATAAATAAATAATTTTTTAAATTGAGTCACCTGCATTTCTGATTGATTAATCAATCTAGGAATCATAAGCCATTATTACTGATGTAGGCTTTTTGTTTACATGCATACTCCCAGCCAAAGCATGCACCATTAACAGGAATTAGTACATGGCCTTCTTACAAGTCTCTGTTAAATGGCTTTTGATTTATGAATGCTCAAACTATCACTTAGACACAGAGATGTCCAACAAACCAAAAGAAGTACGCTTACATCCCTTTTTCTGTTGTTCATGTCATGCTCTATTTCAGAGTGTTTCTCATTCCCAAAACAGAAAATCTTGTCTACCGCCCCTACCTCGCATATAAAAAGAGGCACGGTGAACAAGGCATTAAGAATATTTGCAAATATCATTAAAGGCAAATTACTCCTTTATAGTTTGAATGTAAAGCCAGGGCAATGTTTATTTTTGTTAATTTATAAATAATGAGAACAGGGTAAAGAGTAATATATTCAGTATACTAACACATTGAAACTTGATTCCCTTGCTCTAATGCAAGAACGATAGCGCTATCACATTTTTAATTTCCTGAGAAGAAAAGAAATCAAGATTTGCAAGTTTTTATTTTTTTGTCAGTTTAAAAACAAACATTTTGATTTAGTTTTGCAAAAGTGTTTCGCAACGGCAATTTAAGAAAACAGATCTTTTGAAAAGCATTATAAAGTCCTTTAAGCCAACTCCAAGCAACGAGAAGTCTAAAGTTAATTCAAGTGAGGGACTAGGTAAGCACTGAACTACAACTACTTGAAGGGAAGTGGGAAAGTGTAAAATGAAAGTACATTTTATTCTATACACGGAACGTTAAGAAATAGCCCAAAAGCTGAACAAAATTTTTTAAAGTTGCAGCACCCCCTCTATTTCCTCTTTTATTAAAGACATCTGTATCACCCACCTACCTATTTGAGTTGCTCAAAGAAAAAAATCCAAACAAAACCCCCCGCTCTTAATTAGACACTTGCTGCTACACCACTTCCCACACACATCCATTTCCATCAGCCCAGCAAGCCTAGTCGGCAAGGGTTTCAGACGTCTTTAGATGACAGCAAATTTAGACCAACCTGTGTGCTCCTGAATATCCCAGCTAGGTGTTTTAACTGGCTACACAATTGTTTCTTACCAGATGAGGTAACCATTAGCTATCCCTTTGAAGTAAATATAACATCCCATGTATTTAATCCTGCCTTAAAGAACAATATTATTTGTAGACTAGCATTACAGGAACAAAAATGAAGTTGTAGGCTCCCATTGGGCTACAGCTATATCTACCCCAAAGAGCCTGTACTCTGTCAGGAAAAAAACGTGACCACTGGAGCAGGAAAAAGAAAGGAATGCATAGGTGGAGGATAAAGTGACATTACACAGTACAGCGAGAAGTGGAAGTGCTGGCCTAAGTAATACAGAATTGCAGTTACTTGTATTAACACTGCTAATAAATATATCTTTGACATAGGAAAGGAAGAAATTTTTTTAGAAAATGCGGCCAAAATAAAAACGATCCTTTGTTGGTCAAGAAGTTTCAGTCACAAAGTCGTCGCTCTTAAGAAAAACTAAACTGAAAGACAGGGAAATGTACTAACGATAAGCTTAATTTCAGGCTCTTTGAAATGTCTTTTCAACTTTGAAACTGAAATGTTGAAAGAGCAAGTAATCAAAGCTCACAAGACTGTCTTTAAATCTGATGGGATTGATGGCTTTAAGATAAGCTACTGCAAGTCAAACAACTCTGTCCAAATAAATTCCTCTTTGACTTATGGCCAAACAATCACAGAAAAGAAGTGAGGAATATAAAATTCTTCCAACAGTTCTGATCAACACGGACAGATCTGCTGGAAAAAACATCATGCAAGACACTAAAAAAGGTTACAGACTGTCTTGAGACAAAACGAGAATAAAATTGAAAACTACACTAGTCAAAACTTCAGTTGAGATACAAGCGTATGATTGCTGTTTGTTCCCCTCTGCAATGACTTCTATTAGGAAAAAAACCAAAACCTATTAACACTATTCACCCTTGCAAACCTCAATCTATTGCTTTTTCCATTTTGCACACGTGTTCTTCTTTCACGAAGATAGTTCCACGCACAAATCCTCATCCAAGGACACCCCTCTTACAAACTTTAAAATTCAGAAGCAAACCCTAGAACTCAAGATCGCATTCGCTGTCAATACTAAAAAATGTGTTCTCTAGAGTAAGTCAGAATTTGCTAGAAGTTGTGGTGTGTCATGATGACGTTCCTCCCAGTATCCAGCTGCTAACATGGGAAGTATTTCCAAAGACGCAGCTGGCTCAGTCAGAGGGTGACAGTAAAGGAATGCATCTGTCTGTTGGGGTTTGTTTCACTGCGGTCTGCAGGCTCTACAGATCTGTGGTTGGTTTGTAGTTTACAGTTTGCAAATCCTTTTAGGAAACTCTGTGGCAGGACAGAGCCTGCAACCAAAAACATGAAGGATTTTCTCCATCCGTGGTCACAGTTGACAAAAAACAGCTAAAGATCGTGCCCCAAAAAAATTGAGAGAGACAATAAGGATTTGGGCAGAAAGCTCGAAAAAACATAAGCTGACAGCATCCTAAAAGAGGGAAGACAATCCTGTGAGCAGACAGCAGAACGCAGGATCTACACACAATGCTTAGAGGGATTTTTCCAACTCTTAAAGGTTGAAGTAAAAAAGCAGAAAATATTAGTAACTGAAATTATGTGGAAGAACCCCCAACTAACTGTAGGGAGAAGACAGAGACACTCCAGGACAAGCATTGTTTTGACTGGGCGCCTTACAGAAGCTATTTATACACCAAGTAGCACCCGAAAGAACTTGCAGAAGACAATGTCTAAGGACGAAAGCTGCAAATCTGATAGCACTTGAGATGTGAAATTCTGCTGAGGAAGAACCTGCACAAACAACTTAAAACTAGCAAATCCCTGACAAATAACACATCCTGGAGGAAAGACCTTCAGGATGCTTTGAGATCCATCTCCACAGAAACATCAACAGGATGACAATAGGATAAGGAGGCTGGAAGTGACCGCTACGGCCCTTCCATTATCCAACATCTTCTGTACTGAGTTAGAGTGCAAGTTTTAAAAGGGCATTACCTGATGCCTTTAAGACAGGATATGGGACTGACTAGATCCCTTAGCAAGTAACCATTTAGAACTTGATTTTTTGTATAATTAAACCTTATTTGTCTAACTTCTACTTCCAGCTACTTCTAGTTTTTCATAGATCCCAGGGATTAAATCATCTTCTTGTGGTCCTAGATATGACTGAGCCTCCTTCATATTTACATTTTTATATAAATTGAACAGATGAAGCTTCTTCAGCACTTCACTGTATAACAAATGTGTAATGAAAGAAAGTGGTTAAAATTGAGAAATCCTGCAGTTCATTCAATTCAATTCCTGGGAACATTTTCATGTGCAAAAAAACTCCCTGAACAAGTGCAGAAATGCATAGGTGGTCAGCTATCAGAGCTGGTCATCAGACGTGCTACAAGTATTTGCACCGATGCACTGTGTATTTACCCAGCGGTAAGACAGTTAACTGCGCAAAGGCTTACGCCCACAACATTTTTACTCTTCCACAGGACACTGCAGTGGCTGTTCAACTTACCAAGACAATGCATTTCTTCCCAAAAAGCCTGAACGCAAGATATTCCACACGATCAGATCTCAAGTGGAACTATTTTCTAAAGCCAAAAATCAGACTCAGCCCAAAAATATTTAAAAGGTGCTTTACAGTCAAATCAGATTTTTTTTAAAGCCTTCAGGATGTCAAAAGAACTGGCTTCTGCCCATAACCTACATGAAAAAGCCTGTCCATCAGTGATGTTCCATGCATTATATTCAGATATTTCAAGCAGCTATCCAAGCTTCTTGAGCAATTTTATGCCTGTGGCCAGCAAAAACAACCTAAGGCTGAATGAAAACTAACTTCCCACGCCTTGCTTCATCTTGTTACCACTACAGACAGGGTGAACAGATTTTTTGCCCATCATCTGCTACCTCAAAGTAAATTCCTTTTCAGGCTCTGTTCAGCCACCTGAATAGTCATTCTGCATGTCTAATTAAACCATATGTTCGTCAGCTGATTAACACGTTGATACGGAAGTGAAACGTCTAAATTTCAACCCTGTGTCGGCCAGTGTCCACAGTAAGAGTTTATTGTTTTTACCACATCCACCTATGTAAAGTAACAGAAGAACCAGGTCTGGTAACGATGAAAAGGCTTAAACAATGTCATTTTCAACTCATTTACTAACAGGAGATGCTACAGATAACTCCCAACTTGAAGTCAAGAGGAGTTTCTTCAAAACTGAAACACATGTTTTAACTTTAATCTACCCTGGTATAACCACAGGAGTTAGCCCTGTTACAGTCAGGTAGTTTAACGCTGCAAGACTTAGGTTTCTCCGCAACTATGAATAATAAACGTAGGCTAAATACTTCATATGCAATGTATCCTAAGTGAAGTAAAATTATTATCCACCTGGAACTAGGGTTGGCAGCCTTTTAGTTTTTCTCCTTTCACGCTGATGCACAGTGAGATAAGATGAATAATTTATCTCCAGTGAGAGCTGCTGTGCTTCTACACGTGTGCATTTGCGTGCATGTGTGTGTTTTTAAGCCTCATATTTGGTAATGAGAAGTTGACTGACTTGTTTTGATTTCCCAAATCAAAGTTGTGATCAGGTTCACTCTGGCAAAAAGGGAGAAATATTTTTAACTGGGGTCGTAACAAAAAAAAAAAAAAAAAAAAACTAGTTTCAGTTCAAATCTATATACGGAAAAATAATTTTCTCTGAAGAGAGAAAATCATCATAGCAGAGGATGCAAAATTGTGGCAGTTCATACACAATCTTGAATTACACAATTGTTTGTCATTGCTTGTTCATAATTGCAATAGTGGAGACCAACAAAGAAAACAGTTTGCCAATTACTTTTTTAAATCACTGAGAAAACCACTATCCAATATGGAAAGCACCAAGAGTAAAGCATATTCAGCATTAAAGCTATCAGTTTGGTGTGGACAGACAGAAGGAGACAGATAGAAGATATATTGTGCAATTCTAAAATTAAAAAAAAAAAAAAAACCCACCCTGTGTATACTATACCTCACACACTCATGGAAATATAAATTTAAAATGACATGTGAGAGATCTCCTTTCATTTATTAACATTCACCATGGTGATCAGATGTACTACATACACTTAAATACCTTATTAAAAATACCAGCTGGCCAATTCCACAGGGACATCATTAGGGTATCTACAGCAGTAGCTGTTTAACAGGCAATCTTTTCAGGAATTTGCAGGATTTTCTTCTAGCTTTTTCCAGACATGGAAAATACTTAACCATAAAAAAGATTTCACATCAGCTTCGAACTGTATGTAATAAATATTGTTGTACTACATATTAATAGTCCATCTTCTAAAAGATCGCTTTGTCTTTAAAATTGTTGTTGTCACTAAAACTTTCATTCACCTTTCCCAAAATCCCCAAACAAGTTGCACTTCAGGAAATGACAATCACAATACTCAGCACAGGCTATACTCCATCTGTTAATGGACGTGTTATGAACTCCAATACAGTATCATGTAACTTTCTTTAAGTGTTTGTCTAATTGATTTGACGCTTTTTGTTATTTCTGCAGCCACTAATGCTACGAACATCTAAACTTCTTTGAGATCCCTGAGCATTTGCCAGACTTTGGCCTGACTTTTTTGATGCGCTATTCATTTAACACTCTATTTAATAAATCACTGAGCCTGCTGTTTAAGGGTGATTAAATATTTCCACAACCAACTACCAAGCTTGAGAAAATTTCCATGTATGAGTGCCTCTCAGTATTTAATAACGCTAGATAGTTACTGAAAAATTTAAGGATACTGCAACTTTAAAAACTTATGTGCACATTTGAATTTGTTATATACTTTTGGAGCCCTTTATCTGAGCATTCTTACACTGAAATCACAATGCAAATCAAACCATAATTCACACCGTATATAGAATAAAGAGAATATTACACAGGGGGAGGCTTATATTCAGCTAGCTATTCAATGTATCTTTTTTTCTGTATAAGGACAGCACAACATTCCTCCCCTGTAAACGATCTATAAGATATGCTTAAGTCAGTCAGTATTTTCCCACAAAGCTTTTAAAAATTAACTACGTTAGCTTCCTTATATAAAGGCAGCAATTTATATCACAAAATGTCTATCTGCAGTGAAATCATTCCAATAGAAGGTCTGATACACAGGAGGGAAGAGGGGGTGTTGTTTTGTACAATCAGTAACATTCATTTTAACCATCTCCCCGTGTGTAATAGTCTCCGAAGAATAAGAATGGAAATCCAGCCCTGAGGTTTCTTACCTTAAATCTAAGCAACCACTTAATGCATAAATGGAGCAAATAAAAGAGGTAAGGAAAAAAAGCATTGAAAGGTTAGTTGGAACTTCAGGATATGAAGAGAAAGGAAAAAGGAAAGAAAAAAGTTAAGCATTCAGCATTAACAAAATAATGTATCAGTAGATCATAGAAAGAGTGGTTAAAGCAGAATGTGTCATGAACGAAAGATTTTCAAACTGAAACTTTCAATATACATTGATCAAAAAGCTTTTAGATTAACACGTTAAAATTAATGCTCACATATTTGCACACTATTTATTCAAGTTCTTACAGTGCTAACAAAAGCACTGAGAGCTTCTCCTTTCAGGATGGATCATGAGATCTAGGTAGACTAACTTCACAGATTAACTTATTTTAGCTTTCAAAGAATAGCCTTATCAATATCCTAGACTAATTTAAACTCCGATATATGAATTAGCATAATTACAATCAGCTGAAGCAGAATCCTCTAGAGCATTAACCAAATTTATATTCTTCCCTAGAAAATGCTGGCAGTTAACTCTTAATCTGATGCCGTGAGAAATCCGTCGAGCAAAGAGCAGGAGCAAATCATCATGTCTTGCTAGACGTGCAGCACTCTATATGGATACTGCACCAAATTTCAGTGTTTTCTAAACTATATATTAAAGGTATTAACCAACAGCAAAATACAATTTTGAAGTTTCTGTGCTAGCTTTTTGTCTTGCTGGCACCATACTATACATCTTCTACCCCCTTAATGAAATTGTTCAAAAAATTACTTCTTCCATCTGAATCCCTTCTAATTTGTTTTCAGTTCAATTAATTTAAATATATCATATTTCTTATACTTTTTGTAATGAACATGAAATATGGCAGAATCTCAATAGAGGAGCATACAGAGCAACTACCCTGATTCATCCATTCAGTTCACAAAGAGACCATAACATATCAAAAAACGTAATCTCATTTCCTAAAAAAATCTCCTGTCTTCAAGTTTAAAGTTCCGTATATCTATTTTCCACAACAGTGTCTGCTTCATACAGCTACCCAGGCAGAACCAGGTCCACCCGTTCTAGTCCAAGAGAATGGCAAATTACATTAAAGGGCTGATCAGTAGTACTGCTTATTGATTACAATGCCTTAATACAACCACATCCCCCTTTGAATAGGTCAAACTTCTCACCTATTAAGAAACCACATTGTAGAACATCTTCTCCTGAGGATAGCATCCACTGATACTTTGAATCCACTGATGCTTCGAATTTCTGAACGGTATGAATAGGTGCTCAAGCGGCTATACTACTTTTCTCAACACGGCACACAGGATTTCTTGGCCAAGGATGCTCCCTGTTTCTCCTGTATTATTCCTTGTCCAGAGTGCCATGATTTTCAGGAGTCACAAAGAATGCTTGCTACAATAGCTCTTTTATTAACAGATTGTCTTGACAGTGCATAATTCTGGGTGAAAGTGCTAGTGGGGAAGCTCTGTAGCAGAAAAGGCAGATGGAGGACAACGAATGCATACTGAGGCACTGCTATGCTAGCATTAAAATTTTAATGCTATTTACCCAATAACTCTTTCTTAGCCCTCATTTTAAGGGAAAATGCCATAGCTAAAGCAATAAACAGCTATAAATAGGCAAATTTACAGCTCCAGCCCCTTTTCTTTTAACAAGGGTTTTCATTTGCCAGCAGATGTAGTAAACTAGTCTGTATTTACTGAAGCAGAACAAAAACAGCATGTTGATGAGCACAACTGGCCGCTTTCTCCCCATCAGCAAGGGAACTGTTCTTTCTTCCTCACTGCAAGCAGGATTAACATCACTGGAACAAATCTATGGAACTCATATTAAAGATGGTATGACTTCAGTTTGTTGATTATCATTTGGCTAAGTGCATAAAACTTTTTCATTGTTTAGATAAATATAGTGCATTGTAAATACCATTTGGAAGATGTTTCAAGCATATCACAAGCATAACAAAAGGATGCAAACATCTATTTGAGTCATCATCAATTTGATGAATTATGTTCTTTTGGAAGAACATAATTCATTGCATCACAGTGGGTACGATTCCGCTATATTGAGGTAAGTGGGATACCAATTACAACGGTTTAGAGCCAGTGCTAAATAAATTTGTGCCACAGAGCGATTAAAACTATTCTTTAATGAGTTCTAAAATAATCTCATTAAAACAAAAGTGATCATTAAAATATTAGCGACAGTAATCCTACAGGTTAATATGCTCCATCCATATCCAGAAGGAGTTCTGCTGACCTGCATAAATTCAGAATTTGTAAGAACTGGCATTAGATTTTAACACAAGAATGATCATTTCCTGGTGAAAACAGTAGTTAATAATGACGATTTGTTTTTAATTACTATTGCAAGTCAAGATAAGAGAGTCATTTGTCTTTTTTTAAACCTGATTAGAGCTACAAATTGAGGTTGACTCTTTTGCTAAAAAATGGGGAAAAAAGACTTTCTGTTAACTGACAGGATGTTGAGAAGACCTTGAGTAAAACCACTCTGAAAAGATGTTTAAATAGGACCGTTCAGGACTTGAATCTTAAGATTTTGGTTAAATGATCCATTGTCATTTGAATGACTATCCAAAGCAGATAGTTCAAGTTGAACAACATAGGTATTCCAATGCAGTTTGGCGTCAAGCAAAAGAAATTCTGGCGTATTTTGACTGGAAGAAGCATCTTACCCTACAGCTACTTAGAAGGTTTACAGATTTGTTAGTTTGTCATGTAAAAATGACACCGCTTTGTGTTATTTACCTTTCTTCTCCTGGAACTTTAATACTGTCAGTGTTCTCATTTCCATATTTGTTTTCCTGGCAGCACAAGTTAACAATAAGCTCACATCTGCTAAGACTGTGTTCACATTCAGGACATGCTTTTAAGAAAGGCATATCTAAATTTGCATGTGACGTTACTACCGTTGTGTACACTGAGCTAATACTTGCATACAACAGCACCAGTTGCATCTTAATCTGCACTTTTCCCTGAAATTCCTCCTTTTTTCTTAGTCTTAAAAGGCAAAACCATCTGGCTTAGAACTTGGCAGGAAAATTCCCATTCGGAAACTCCATAGGGCACACGAGTTGTATAGAGCTCACTTTAACAAAGCACATCACAGGATATGGGTATAACACACACTGCCAAAAAGAAGAGAAGGGAGCAAATGATACTTCTTATGCAAACCCTTTCTTCAGGTGAGCTCCAAAGTAAGTCAGCGGCAATTACAGCTGGATCATACTTTGTGGTAGAAAAGTGACAGCTGGTCATTGGCCTTTCATTACTTAGGTATACCCTGGCAACTGATTCAAACGAGATCAGCAGCATCACACAAATAGGTATTTTAGCAGCACCTTAAAGGCTGAAATCCATAGTCCCAAATATCCTCAGAAATAAGATTCAGTGGGTTTGCAAGGTTTAGAAACATGGAGGCAAGGGAAGGAGAAGGGGCAACTGGAAATTGGGCAGAATTCCTCCTACGTGTATAGACACACTGGGAAGATAAACCATGCCAGGTAAGGAGAAACTGGTATACTACCATGAAAAACATCAGGTATTTTGAAAATATACAAAGACAAAGTATTTGCAGTTTGGCTGTTTTAACAATGTCACCTACCTTCACTCCATGTCCAATATCATCTAGAATTGTATAATCAATAGGTTTCCTGATGTAGCGAACTGGTCGCTCCAGGTTAGCTGGTGCAATGATTTTGTGAGTTCTTGAGGTGTTTTTGTTTGTAGTCAAGATACCAATTTCTCTTCTAGCAACTTTCTCTTTGTGAATGTCCACCGTCTACAAAAGACGTAGTGTATTTACTAACAGCGGTAGGCATTTGAATACAGAGTTAGTATAAAAAATTGAATCAGTTCCAACGTTTTGCAGATCTCGGTATATTGTGATAAACATACCACTACATGTATTTTCTTACATCATCTTTCTTCAGTTCACTGTTGAACTTGTTACCTTCTCTAGACTCACACGTATAGCTGAGGGTTCTTTCGGTTTTCTATCACTCTCGTTCTTTATAATGCAGTAAAACTTTCTCCTGTCCATTCTTAGTAGGTTCCATTGAATTATTGACACTGATCTATACCATTCCTTTCTAATTTTACAATTGCTCTCTAAGCAGCTCGTTGAAACAGCGTACAACTAGATGAAACATAAGTGTATCTTCTCAAATCCTAACTTTTATGACCTGCAAAACAAACCATAAATAGGTTTTCTTAGGTTGTAAAACAGTTTGCTAAACTAGGACTGGCAGTCTTATGAGAGAATAACGTTTCACTCAGACAAATCAGACAAGATTATTTCAGTCTTTATAAACGGCTCATTACAAAGCAATGATTGGATTTCAGAAAGCGCTCAGTACTAACCTAACAGTACGCACAGTGAAGTCAACGGTTAAACACAGTGCTTTCACTAAGAATGGGTAAAGCCAACATTGAAAAAACCTCCCTTCACATATTGCAATGATTACCATAGGAGAATATTTAGTGCAAGGAAAAACCTAATGAAAATTCATTGTCTACACACATGTACTTAAGTCTCGTTTGGGAAGAGGCCTAGGAAAAAAAACGTTACCAAAAAAGATCATCCATCTTTGGCAGGACAGAAATTCTTAAATGCTGGGGTTCCTCGTGTCATCTAAAACAAAAATGTTTCTTTGCTCACAATGCAACTTTCCTTACAAGAAATTTCCCAGCATTTTAGCTGCAAGCTAAAAAAAGTAAGAAAATACTCAGAATCACCATCATTAGGATTTCTATTGATTTGGACATTCATAACGTTTCTTATTATCATTTCAGTAACCGTGAATGGTACCAGAAAGACTTTTCACAGTTAAGCAAGAGAGAGGCTCTGCAGTAACTAAAGACTAGGTACCAATGAGAACTCATTTTCATAAGACAAGTTTTATGAGTTTTAATTTTCTGGGGCAGGGGTTGGGGAGGTGGGGTTGGTTGTGCACGCTGTTTTATCCTTTTGTTTGTGCTACAGGTAGCAAAACAAGTAAAACGGAGCCTGTGTTATCTTGTGTGATCATCAAGACCTTAAAGAAAAAAAAAAAAAAAAAAAAAAAAAAGAAAAAAAACATTTCCAAGGAACTGCTTCTTCCAACTCTTTACAGAAAGGAGGTTTTCACAAATACCATGGGCATTACATGCAGGTTTAAATCACTATCTATCAATATTACCCAAAATTTCCCACCAACGTGTTTTCATTTTTTGGTAGTTCTGCTAAACTTTAAACACTGAACAGAACTTCCTCATGCGTATTCCTACCACCTCCAGTACGACCTTACTAGAATTGGAAAGTTTCTGATGAAATAGCACAGCTATTTCTTAAAACAAAGCTACAGAAAAATACATTATTCAAGGTCCAAAAATGTTGGCAACCCTCTCTTTGAAAAGCTCAAGTTTGTTGAGTAATGATCTGAAATTTAATAGGGATGATTAAACATTCTGGGACACATCTTCCACCACCCTCACAAAAACCCACCCTATTGTCCAAAATACAAACCTTTGCAGAAATTCAGAGTTCATATAAGCTTAATTATAATAACTAATAGTTTAGCAAATAAACTGCTCCCCAACCAATTCTGTCAAAGCCCTTCCTGAAGTTCCCACTGATGACCAGGTCTATGTACCTTTCCTCAGTGCAACAGAGCAGATCAGTATCTTCACAGCTCTTATGGCATTACTGCTTGTACAAGCACCAGTGCAAAAAGAGCACATAAACATACTCCATTGCACAGTACCAAAAATGTACCACTCTGAATCAAGGTGAGATTCAGTATTTTATCTTTCGTCGCATGTTTTTATCCCTTCCTTGTGCCTGACCTTTGCTTCTCTGGCATAGCGGAAGGAGACATTCCGGGAACAAGTGGCAGTTGTACCAACGAGGCTGTCTACAGAATCCTCACCTCATCTGCTGAGGTATTAGAAAGCACGTGCTCTTTTGATAACCTAACAGTATTCACTGCAACAACTCACGGGACAATCTCATGTTTCATATACCTGAAGAAATCAAGCCCTGCTCTTATCACAGACTGGATCTGTGATCTAGACACCTCACTGGAGAGCTGCAGAAACATTACACTGACAATTGTATGTTCTTTATCTTACAGGCCTCAGATCCATTCTAATATGTTAAACATCCCCAGCTACAACAGCAGTGCTATGAATCTGAAAGGCTGTAGGATGTTTCAAATATACTGAAATGTCAAAATCTCATGGGTCTTAATGTGGCCATTCAAACTGGTTTATGCCTTGGAAACGTCCACGGTTAAACTCTCAATGCTCCAATTCTAATTTTTTTCTGATTTGTAGATGGAAGATAAATCAGTGCAGTGTTGGCAAGATTATTTCTTCCTTGCCCTAAAGTTCAAGTGCTTGACCTCTGCAACCTTTAATCATGTTCTTTCAGCATTTTATTATGCAATTATCTAAAGATATAATGTGACTGCAGATATTTAATGCACATATTACTGTAGCGATGGTATCTTGGCACTGTGCAAACTTGTTTCCATGAATGAAAAGTGGGTTTTTAATTATTAATAAGAGCTATGAGTACATCTGGTTTACTTAAGGAATAGAGTGATCAGTGAGGCATGCTTACAGTAATAAACAATTAAATTCATAAAAACTAATTAAAAGCTGAAGCTCAAGTAATGGGAATTCTGTTGCATGATAATTCAGAATAGCTTCTTTATCTTTAACACCTATAGAATGAGTAAGGCTGTTAAAATGGTACCCACTTCTAATAGATACTCCCAAAATTCTATTGAAAAGTATTGTGCTGGCAGGCTTTTCAAAAATTTCATTCTCTACCTTAGTAGACTACTGGAGTCCTAAGATCTTAAGACATCTATAAAACAGCAAAGAGGAACACTGAGGTATTTGATTACCAGAGAAAAGAGCAAAGATTAACCTACTATTAAAGAAAATGAAAATATTTATCCTTAACACGCAGGTAATTATTGCCTCTAGCACTGACATTAATACCTTACACAAGACAGGAGGGCAAAGGGGATGCATTCTGCTCTTCTATAACTTAAATCACTGTTCCCTAATAAGACATTTCAGATTACTGCCAATGTTGTTACGTAACTTTTCCCGTAGCTCCATGAACCATGGGCAACACCTTTTAGTTGACAGCACAAAGTTTGTTAGAAATTAGGCTCATTACTACCTTCTTTTGATATGTTTTCCAAAATGCCTACAA